ATTTAAAAGACAATTTGCAAGGATCAAGGGTTGACATGGAATGTTGTGTCTCTGATGTTGCACAATTTACATGGAAAAAATATCTACATTTAGAGTCGGAACAATAATAAAACCAATTTCTTCTGTACACTCTCTTATTGCAGATTTTCCAAATTGGCTGAGATTTGTAATATTGAAATGGAAGAGAATAAATGAGGGTGTGAGAGGGTGATGGTGATGACTAAGTTTAATAGTGTTAGGTAATGAATCAGCACATTTATGGTTGACCCAGAAGCCATAGGCGGCACATAGGTAGGAGGTGCCTCTATGTCGTGTACTAGAAGCATCACATAAGAACATTGATGCGTTTTGAAGGGGGATCAACTGGTGTATGTGCTTTTTGTGGTCAATCCTCCGTTGAATATTGTCTACCATCGAAGCACACTTGATGTCAACATCGAATATTCGCATGGAGAACAATGTAAATGAATCTCTTGCAAGTTTCTCCACATACATCACAAAAGCAACCTCCTTTGTAATTGTTAAGTGGGTTTGGAAAGAGAGCAAGGGGCTGTTCTGAGTGAGAAGGATACGTCATTTCCTGAGATCGTTCTATACATGATTTGTGCAAGAAAATCTTACATCTATTTCAACCATAGCACTCTTTTTTTGAGATAGGTTATTAACAATCGTAGCAAAAAACATCCCATCATCATTGAGAGGGGAATTTGCGCTAAGTAAATGGACCGAGCTAAACCTAACACGGACCTTCATTTTAGACCGTGTAACCAGACTAGCGCGTTGTCTCAGATGTTAGACCAAGTTAAGTGATGAACTTGGGTTGTGGGCTAAGCTGAGCCTGCGCCTTAGTATAATGGGCCAGGCTAAGCTAGAATGAGGCCACAAGCATACACTGAGCTGAGCTAGAGCTAGGCCACAAGAATTGGCTAGGCTAAGCTGGAGTGCGGCTACAAATATGCACCGAGCTAGGCTGTAGAGGTCCATCTAGATGGCAAACATGTGAAGTTAGCTCGGATAAACATAGTAGAGAGTCTTAAAAAGCTTTGGCCGAACTAGTGAGGTCAGTCGAGCACAAGTTAGTCGGGGTTAGCTCGGGTAAATATGGCTTGGTTAGAGTACGCCACGTGGCCCAATAGAGCGCATAGGGGAGAAACCGCTCAAAGTATGCGACAATATTATTTGGCTGTTTAGCCAATGATATTTGGTAGTGTTGATGCACACATGTGTACGGAAGGGTTAGTACATCCACACGCCCAAGAAAGGACAAAGGAAGTGGTGCACATACAACCTTGGAAAGCATGGCAGCAACCTAGATAAGGCGTATGACTTCACTCAGAAAAGGGTAAGCAATCCTACATTATTCACTCTCTCTACATTCCTTAATCTCTCAAGGGTGCTAACTTGACCGTTGAAGGGGTTTTTCGGCAAAACACCTGTAAGGTAGCTCAGCTTTATTGTGTTTTCAGGAAGCAAGACATCGTTTGCAGCAATCCAAGCTTGGATGCAAGGAGTACGGACACGATAAATATTTCTCACCCGTAAAATTGGCACCATCTGTGGGAATCTTGACGGACAAAACCTTTTCATCCAAGCATTTCTGAATGACTTCAATGGCGAACAATGAAGACCCTCCAATTTTTTCCATTGACAGAGTAACACTAGAGTTCGTTAGGAGACGTGACGACTTGCCCTCCATTCCGACGATGGCGGGTTTAGATTCTTCTGCGTGAGGATTGCCTAGAGATGCGCAAGATAAGCACATGAGGAGTCTAGAACATTCATAGAACCTTGAAAGGCACCAACGATAGAAAGGGTCACACACTCAACACCTGGAGAGCAGATTGAGAAACCTGGACACTATTATCTGAATGATAGCAATGGAGATAGAAGCCATGAAGTGGCAGTTGAAGGGAAAGGGCATAGCTAGAGTGGAGAACCACAGTGAGCACACCCAATCCCATTGCTCAGGTGATTGGAGAAGGCGAGAGATGCATGCTCTCTCTATAACCAGAAGCTTCAAAATTGGCAATTCCACATCATGGACGAAGAGTTCCTATACTCAAGACAATAGTTTTTTCCCTTCATGTCCATCAATGAAATCTAGATATTCTTACTCCGCTCGATTGGAGGACCTAAGGGATGTCCTGGAAGAGAGGGTGCGACGGAGGGAGGCCCAAAGGGTTTCGACATTATAGAGGTTGGCCCTTAGGTCTTATGGCAACGAAGAGGTTATAATGTCATTGCCACATGTTGCGGTGCGCACATTTGGAGAACACCACCCCTTTTTCCCTTAAGATTGAGAATGTGCCTTTTCCCATAGGCTTCCACTAGCCTAAGTTCAACCTCTACGATGGGAAAACCGATCCCTACCTGCACGTAAGCCATTTTCGGCACGTCATGGTTGTTCATAGGTGTAACAACGCCTTAATGTGCATTATATTCCCATCAAGTTTAGGCGAGTTGGACCTGAAATGGTTTGAGGGGTTACCAAAAGGGAGCATCAATAGTTGGCAGCAACTAGCGAAAGCATTTACCACCAGATTTAAGACAAATACAAAATTGCCAAAGGAAGTCGACCATCTTCTAGGAGTAAACATGGGATAAGGAGAGTCATTGAAGACGTATAACACCAGATATTGGGCAGCATTCAATGAGATTCATGATTGCCCCACCAACCTAGCCATCAATCAATACAAGTTGTGTTTACCAATCAGATATAGGCTGAGCAACTCACTTACAATGAATCACCCCTCAATGATGGAGTCATTGATGCAAAGAATCAACGAACACATAAGGGTTAAGATGACGCGAACGGGGCCACTGTGAAGACAAATCTAGTAGTGGCAAAAAAAAGAGTTGCCGAGAAAATTCACACGGTCAGATAGGAGGATAATTGTTCAAACAACCGCAGGAGATAACATAACCGCGACATTAACCACAACAACCGAAACCAGAATAGAAACAATGAATGACCTAACAATCCCCGTGACGAGAAAGAAGATGCTAGAAGAAAGTTGAAAGTCTGAATTGGCATCACTACAGTCTTCAAGATACCAATCTATCGTATCTTAAGTGAAATTAGTGACGAGGCATACGTCTATTGGTCAGACAAATTGGGGGATGCTCAGAAGGGTTCAATCTGAAGTACCGCTGAACTTACCATGATGAACAAGGGCACCACATAGAAGATTGCATGCCTATGAAACGGCACTTGGAAGAGTTGGTTGTAGCAAGACATTTAGATCGGTACATTGATGGAGGCATTAGAGCAGCACCTCAAGGGCGGGCCAAGCCTAAAGGCCTAGCTATTCTAGATGCTCCCCTTCCAAGGAGTTATTAACATGATCCATGGGATCACTGAGCTGACACAAGTATGCGAGCTTAGGGGGGTGATTAAAAAAGCAGAACACATGAAAGAAATGATGTCTGCTCAACTGGTTAATAAGAAAGGCAGAACCGAAGAGTGAAAGATATTGTGACTTTTTTGAGCAAGGACTTAGAGAGGATCCAAACTTCCCACAACGATATGCTAGGTGTCACTTTGCATGTCAAAGATTTTGACATCAACGATGTTGATCGACTAAGGCAGTTTGATCGAGATAACATACTATGATGCCTTTAGGCAGCTGAAGTTGGAGGACAAAGAGTTTACACCAACAACTTCTCATTTGTTCAACTTTAATTCGTACCCGGAATGGTCGTTGGGCAAGATCATATTACCGATCAAAGTAGGTCAGTCACCAAGAAAGTGGAGGTTTGGGTGCTGAAGGTGCCTTCCACCTATAACCTAATTCTTAGAAGAGGATGGTTGCATGCCATGTAAGTAGTGGCATCAACTTACCGCCAAGTAATGTGCTTCCCTTTAGTAGCCGGGGTAATAGAGGAAGTCTAGGGAGATCAGGTGATGTTGAACCATTGCTTTGTGGCAGTAAATGGCAGACGGACTGCTAAAGGCTTTGTCCAAATAATCAAAGGATTGAAGGACAAAGAAGTCCTGACGACATTGGCAAGAAAGCCAAAGAGAAGGCTTGGAGGACTTGGTGGAAGTTCGAATTGATGAAAATAATCCAAGTTCTTTCTACTAGGATCATCGTTGTCTAGCAAAGAAAGGTTGGAAATTGTGGACTTTTTGATTTCTAACATGGAATTTTTTGCTTAGATGATTTACAATATGCCTGGCAATAATCCAAGCTTCATTTTCCATCAACTTAACGTCTTTCTGAACACGTAATCAGTCATTCAACAAACTCGGCGACTATCCTTCCACCACGCCGAGGTGGTTGCAGAGGAGGTCAACAACTTGTTAGAAGTATGAGTAATCCAAGAGGTGCACTGCCCTAGATGGATTTCCAACACAGTGGTGGTATCGAAGAAGAATGAAAAGTGAAGAGTTTGCATTGACTATAAGATGGTCAACAAAGGTTGCCCTAAAGATAGCTTCCCGCTACTTAGAATCAACCAATTGGTGGACCTTACAGCCAGGCATAAGAGGTTCAGTTTCTTGGATGCATATCGCAACTATCACTAGATAGCCATGTATGAGTCGAATCGAGAGATCACTTCCTTCGCAACCCCATACAAGATCATGCCTTTCAATTTGAAGAATATGGGGGCAACCTTTCAAAGAATGATCACCAAAATGTTTTCCCCTTTGCTCAACTGTACAATGGAGGCCTACATTGACAACATAGTGGTCAAAAGCAAGTGTCAATCTGATCATCTGGGTGACCTTGCTGAAATGTTTGAAATCCTCAAGCATCACAAACTGTGCTTGAATGCATCCAAGTTCGCGTTCGATGTGTGTTCGGGAAAAGTTTTAGGCTTCTTGGTGACAAACCATGGAATAAAAGCAGACCCCTCACAAATAAAGGTAATACAAGAGTTAGAGCATCCAAATTCCACAAAGGACGTGCAACATTTTTCCAGGATGGCAGTCGCACTTAATAAATTTATTAGCCGGTCATCAGATCATTGCAGGCCTTTCTTCCAATCTCTAAGGTCTAAGTTCTTTTGGGATGAAGAATGCAATCCATTGATTTCCTACTAAGAGCATCAACTACAATAGTGGCTTTGCCCGGATGATACTGAATTTGCAAATAATATTTCTTGATCGACTTTAACCATCTTCTTTGACGCATATTCAACTCCTTTTGAGTAAAGAAATATTTCAATCTATTGTGATCAGTGTAGACTTCACAAGTTGCTCCATAAAGATACTGATGCCATATTTTCAATGCAAAGACAACGGCGGCTAACTCCAAATCATGAGTCGGATGATTCTTTTTATGAGGCTTTAACTGACGAGATGCATAAACAACCACTTTTCCATTCTACATAAGAATGCAACCCAATCGTTTATATGATGCATCACTAAAAATAATGAACCCTTAGGTACCTGATGATAGTGTAAGGACTGGGGTTGTAGTTAGTCTTGTCTTCAATTCTTGGAAAGCGGATTCCCTTTGATCTTTCCATTCGAATGGCACTCCCTTTTGCATTAACTGGGTGAGCAACACTACAATCTTTGAGAAATCCTTGACCCATGAAACTTCGAATCTTTGTCACATTAGTTGATATAGGCCAATTCACAATAGCTTTAATCTTTTGTGGATCCATTAAAATACCATTCTTGTTAATCACATGACCCAAAAACACAACATTATCCAACCAAAATTCACATTTCTTCAATTTAGCACATAACTTCTTATCTCTGAGTATTTAAAAAATTAATCTCAAATGATGTTCATGATCTTCCTTACTTTCTGAATAAATCAAAATATCATCAATAAACACAACCACAAACTCATCCAAATAAGGCTTGAAAATTCGATTCATTAAGTTCATAAAAGTTGCGGGTGTATTAGTGACTCCAAACGACATGACCAAAAACTCATAATGTTCGTACCTGGTTCGAAAGGTAGTTTTCTCTACATCTTTAGCTTTAACTTTCAATTGATGATACTTGGATCTCAAATCAATCTTGGAAAACACTTGTGCTCCCTGTAACTAATCAAATAAATCATTAATTCTAGGCAATGAATACTTATTTTTAACTATTACCTTATTCAGCTCCCAATAATCAATACATAGCCGAAGTGTTCCATCTTTCTTCTTTACAAAAAGAACCGGTGTGCCCCATGGTGATGTACTAGGCTAGATGAACCCTTTGTCAAGCAATTCTTCCAACTGAACTTTTAATTATTTCATTTCCGTTGTTGATATTCTGTATGGAGCTTTCAAAATAGGTTAAGTGTCAGGTATGACATCAATAGTAAACTCAATTTCCTCGGTCTATCAATTCTTCTAGCAAATCCTCTGGAAAGACATTTGGAAATTCCTTGAGTATTGGAATGCTATATAAGCTATCATTTGTTGTCTGTATACTCATAACGCAACACAAATAACCTTGACACTCTTTCTTCTTAAGAAATTTACAAGATTTCATAGATGATATCAAATAAGGTGGAGGAACTACCCCATTACCCTCAAAATAAAATTCATCTTGTCTCGGAGGTCAAAAGAAAACTCGTTTAGACACACAATCAATGGTTGCACAATATTTAGATAGCCGGTCCATACCCAAAATTACATCAAAGTGATTCATATCAAGAGGCATTAAATCAACATATAATATAGTATCCCCAATTAGAATTTCACATGCAGGATATATGGATGCACACAACATTGATCCCCCAGACGGTAAAGATACACATAACACATAATTCAACGGTTCTAACAGTCTATTCAATTTACGAGAAAATAATTTTGAGACGAAGGAATGCAGATTTTAGAGAGAAAGACTATTATAGTAGTTTATCTATATATCCTGAGTTAAAACTTGTAATTTTCGTGAGTTAAAACAGCCTCTAACGGTCTATTCAAAGAGAGAGAGACTAGGTGATTTATCATCAAGGGATTAATCAAAAAGAGAGCACCGAAGCCGAGACAGAGAGAGAGAGCGGCAGGAGAGAGAAGAGGAAAGGAGAAAAAAATTAGGGTTTTGTTTTGGTGGCTTTATTAATTCTCTAAGTGATTCTTTGATCTTCAAAAAAATGTTGTGAGTACAAAACCCACTTTCCTTGATTTATGTTTAATTCGTTGTTTTTATTTATTTATTTTTATTTATTTGATGTTGGTTTGATTTTGTATTTGTATGTAGATGATGATTTGATTTCATTATTTGGTTAGATGTGTACGTAAGGTTTAGGATTTTTATATGTATTTATTTTATGATTGTAATCACACTAATGGATATATGAAATTAAAATAAACTTAGAACTCATAGATAAATTCCTTACACTCCACCATAACTCCATGGATTGTTATTTTGTTTGAGTGTTGGTGAGAAAGATTGTATTAAGTGTATAAAAAAAAAAAGATGTGGATTTTGAGATTTATTTGAATGCCTTAGGCTTGACATTGTTATGTTTGTTCCCATGAGTAGATGAGAGATTGTGGATATATATATATTATCGCCTCGTTCTCAAGAGTAGATGAGTGCTTTAATTTACACGCGTACATATATGCTAACCATCCGAGGAGTGTGGGTCAAACTCGGGACGATAATCTCGTGCAAGTTTGGCTTTAGAGTGGTGTTGGGTATACAAGAGACACATGGGATATATGTGTAGGCCGGAAGTGAAGGGTCGAAGTGGTGGAGTTAAGATACAAATAATTAAATATGAGTTTATTGGTATAGTGTGAATTGTATTGATTTGTACATCTTAAAAAATAGTAAACAATCTTGATAAATTATGAAATTTGGGCAGAGGCGTGTATACATAATTCTAGACAACTTTTCTATTTTAACGTTGTACTAAAAAGATCGATTAGAACTTGTAATCTGATGATCTTGGTTATAGTAGTTTTTATTCATTTTAGCAATGCAGATTTTAGAGGTTGTTTTAACTCACGAAAAGAGCTCATTTCTATTAATTTCGCTTAAACTGAAGTAAAACATTATTTTGAACACTTTTCATGTTTTGAACGTTTTCGAAAAAAATCATCTTAGGGCAGTTTGTTTTCGTTTTCAGTTCCATATTTTTTTCGATCGAATTTCGTTTAGGTTCTTCTATTAAGTGTTTCTCTCAACCTATTCAGTTTCTACAAATTTCGGCCTCATTACCTGTTAGAAAATTTGATTCTGTACAACTTTTGTTCTTTGAGTTTTGGTCAATTCGAATGATTTAAGTATGAAACAATGCGTTTTTATACTGCTTCAGTAATTTACTTATGATTAAATTATACTAACTCTATTTTTTTTGCAGAATGGTGGGTCTTACAAACATTTTATGCAAGGCTAAGCCACCATAATTTTTATGTTTATTTTGTTTATTCTATACTCAATTTATATTTAGTTGTGTATGGGTAAGAAACTAAATGCCACCGTATCTCAAGAAACTACCCCTTCATCTCAGTGCGGGTGGAACTACTTCTCTTGTCCCATAATAAGAATTAAATGTATTTTTATTTGTGTCTAGTGGACACGTGGGTGTCAAATATTTGTACTCATACCAGTATACTTGTATACTAACCCACTTTGTCTCTTGGCAACTCGGATGCGTTCTATTTGAGCGCAACCAAGCTTCTTTTGCAAGATTAGTTGGGACTACGGTGATGACGAGAAATAACTATAGTTGTTGGACATGTCGTTTGGGCTTCTTTTGTTTTCTTGAACTTAGGGTTAATATTAATTTATGTCTTTATTATTTTTTTTTATGACCTTAGTATTTTGATAATTTGCCATGGTTTGTAACTTTATATTATTTAAGGTATTTTGACTATTTATTGTTACTTTAATGTTGGAGGTATTAGATAGTTATGAAATTATGGTGGATGGTTTGGTTGGCGTTTTGTTAGTTTTTTTTTTATCCCTTGTAAGCTTTTGAGCATGAAAATTTACTTAAACCTTATGAAGACGAGAATGTTTAGATTTTGTTTCACCCCTAGGTTTGGAAGATGAAATATTGATCAGGGTTTAGTCCTAATTTAATATTTAATTGTCCAAATTTTGGGGTGTGACGGTCTGGTATCAGAGCTCTAGGTTACCCTAGACTTGTGAGAGTTTAGGTGATCTTCGAATTGTGGAAACATGGGTTAGCTGGTTTAGTTTTGTGGTTGAGTTTATTCTAAGTATTTATGAACGAATTCTTTTTGTGTGTTTAACTTGAAGGTGATGGTAGAAGGTATCTTTAATTTTTTTTTTTTTAAGAACCCATTAGAGTACTTTTTCATACTAGTGTCTCTTATTGTTCCATATCTAGGCAGTTTGTAGAAAGAGAACACCTTGTAACTACCTCATTGTCTAGACCTATTCGTGTTGAGACCCCTTTATGAGGGGCAGTTACTCTTTATGAGATGTGTAAAGATTTTGAGATTGACTTTGCGGGTAGAGTCTTGTATGCAAACTTAATTGTGTTAGGGTTTGAGGGGTTTACAATTATTTTAGGTATGAATTGGCTGCAAAAGTACTTTGTGACTCTAGATTGTGTTGGAAGGATTGTAAATATAGATATTCCTGGTATGCCACAGTTTACCCACACTTCTAGCAATGGAGAAGAGTCGGTGATGACGAGTCTTTTGTGCTCGGTAGAAATCCCTAAGCAGGATATTAGTGAGGTAGATGTGGTGCGTAAGTTTGAGGATATATTTCAGGAGATACCTCTCCACCTCGACGGGTAGTAGAATTTCGCATTGACTTAGTGTCGGGAACTGCACCAATTTCTAAGGCAGTATATAGAATGGCGCCTAAAGTGCTTGTGGAGATGAAGAAGCAACTGGAAGAGATGCTTCAGAAAGGGTTCATATGTTCAAGTAACTCCCCGTGGGGAGCACCCGCGATTTTTGTCTCCAAGAAAGATGGCACTCTCCGCATGTGTATAGATTACAGAGAGCTGAACAATGTGACTATCAAGAATAAGTATCCGCTACCTAGAATTGATAACTTGTTTGATCAGTTGAAGGGGGGGCAGCCGCGTTCTCTCAGTTTGATCTCAGAACGGGTTACCATCAGATGGGTGTGTCAGAGGAAAGTATATCGCTTACTGCTTTTTGGAATCGATATGGGTTGTACGAATTTCCTATAATGCCTTTTGATTTGACAAATACTCCTGCCTATTTCATGGACTTGATGAACATAATTTTTCAACCATATCTAGATATGTTTGTGATTATCTTCATAGATGGTATCCTGGTGTATTCTAAGAATGAGGAAGAGCACAGAGAACACTTGAAAGTCGTGTTGCAGACTTTAAGGGAGCAACGGTTATACGCTAAGTTCAGTAAGTGTCACTTTTGGGAGAAAGAAGTTCAATTTTTAAGACATGTTGTG